CAACCCACACAGTGGTGACACCATGGAATTCAGGAGGAGCCGAGAACCGTCTCCTCCTCCCCCTCCACCCCCTGCCTCTCCTTAAGCACGACCACAAATTCCCGGCACCTGGGCTAAAATCTGCCCAGCAGAAACCAACAGCCTCTTCCAAACAAGACATTTCCCTCCACTCTCCTTTTCTCTTCTGGCAAAGAATCCAATTGGCTAAGCCATCTTGGTAAATCAATGGCTAAATACAATTCTCCTCTCCTGGGCACACAGCTCCCTTGACAGAGAGATTAATAAATCCTGTCCTCTTGACCACAAATTTCACACAGCACTAACCTACTTGTTGGTTCTGGGCCCATTATTTCATGTGAAAAATGGGTCTAAAATATTTACCCAAGGCTAATAAAGGTGTTATTAACACTTTGTGGGTATTATTTCCCCCTTAATGTTAAAAGCTGATTACCTGTCACAAGGTCATATTGATATAAAATTTCCAGATTCTGTTTCCCAGAACATAACCATACATGGCATTGCTACTGATTTTAAAGTTTAGATGCAAATTTGATTGGCCTTGAGAAACTGAAGTTTTGAAGCTATCAAAATACATGTCTCTGTTATATATATCTGGGCTCAAGTGCTGGCTCCATCACTTATTACTGCTGGTACGTCTTAGGTGAGCTGCAAAACTTCTCTGAGCTGCGGTAGCCTCTGTTGTCAAATGGAGAACCCATCCATTGAAGCTTAAAGGAGATCACACATGTAGAGTGCTCAACACAGTTACTGTCATGTAATAAACATCCTTTACTATTATTGACTACATAAGACTTCATGGGAGGTGCACCTATGTAAGTCATAAAATGTATCAACATTAACTTTTAGTAACAGAGAGGGAGATATCAAATGCATCACATACAAAATAAAAAATGACATAAAGGAATATTAAAATTTTGAAAGCATTTAAGCCGTTGGTTGACAATACATAAAATTGAAATAGAGGCGTTCTGAAAGTCTTTAAGCCAACAATAATTTTACCTAGTAATATTCTCTGTATTATACTAATAATTTATTGAGTATATTCTTGGTACCAGGCACTATTATGAGTGCTTTATGAACACATTTTATCTTCACAATAGCTCTGAGATAGGAAATAGTATTATGCATGTTTTGCAGATGGGGAAACTAAGGCAGGCAGTTTGGCTCTGCAGCCCTCACTCTTGGACTCCAGAGTGAGGGCTGCAAAGCAGGTGTGGCTGTGTTCCTATAAAAATTTATTTACAAAAACAGGTGGGTGGACTCTCCCACCTGTTTTTGTAAATAAAGTTTTATAGGAACACAACCACACCTGCTCATTTACATATTGCCCACAGCTGCTTTCTATGCAACTGCTGAGCTGAGTCATTGCAATAAAGACCATATGGCCTGGAAAGACTATAATATTTACTATCCAGCCCTTTACAGAAAAAGTTTGCTAATCCTGACATCAACTTTAAACTTCACTAAAAGATTGGGGTTTGGAAGGGGAAGAAATAATAACTTATAATACTAATACTGTCTTATATTTTGTATACAGTGCATTTTTTTACATATTCATCTCATTTAATTCTCATAACAACCCTGTGATGTAAGTAGTCCTTCTAGTTCCATTTTAGAAATGAAGAACCGGTTCTGAGAGGTTAAATGACTTGAATCATAGACTCGACAGTAAACTCCATGAGTGTAAGGATCATGCGTCTGTATCCGCATGTCCACGTCACCTAGCCAATACCAGGATAGAGTTGCCACTCAAAAAGCACTTACTAAATGGATGACAGATGGAAAGGTCACCCAGCTAAAGAATCTAGGTCTCCTCCTGACCCCACAGCCGCCCTGGAGCTAAAAAGGACTTTCCATTAAGATAGGATGAAACAGCCGAAACCGGTTTGGCTCAGTGGTAGAGCATCGGCCTGCAGACTAAAAGGTCCCAGGTTCGATTCCGGTCAAGGGCATGTACGTTGGTTGCAGACACATCCCTGGTAGAGGGTGTGCAAGAGGCAGCTGATTGATGTTTCTCTCTCATCGACGTTTCTAGCTCTCTTCTCTCTCCCTTTCTCTCTGTAAAAAAATCACTAAAATATATTTAAAAAAAAAAAAAAGATAGGATGAAACACAGGGTAGAGAACATGTCATTCTGCTGTCGATGGACAGATTTTGGCTGCTCTGTTCCTTCTCCTCCTTAGAGATCATATCAGCCAGACCAAAGGGTTTTTTCTTTCCCCTCAGATGCATAGTCATAGCTCTGAGATCATTCTTGTCCTTGTGATTGGCACATTTTTAGACAAAACTAAAAGTGACACCCTCATGAGATGGGAGTCACATGGACTCGGTTTGGGATGGCTTCCAGACCGAGCTCTGCCCGCCCTCCTCCCACCCCCTTGACCCACCTCCCACCCCCTCACCCCAGTGAGTCACACAGCAGACTGCCCTTCCAAGAACGGCCCAGGGCTTTGTTTTCTTTCATCATGCTCTGTGTGGGTCATGTGAGCCCCCGGGGTATTAATAGACCATCGCCTGGCCTTCTGAATCTTGTTGTTGGGCCGGGAGACAAATGGAGGTTTGGCCAGGCTCTCTGTGCCATTTTTCACTCCTCTCCTGCCTGTCACGTGCTGGTTGGTGACAGAGCTGAGCCAGACAGGCAGAGGGCATCCGGGGTGGCCACTGCCCGTGGACTGTTTTGAATTCTTGCCTCTCTTAGTGGCCCCTTGGTCATCTCCTGACTTCCGACCTTGGGTCCCCAGTGCTAATCTGAACCAGCCAGCCGCTGCCTGTCCCAGGCGCCTTCTCCCAGTCAGGTGACGGCGTCTGTGCCTGCATGTGTGAGAGAGAGAGGTGCCAGGCAGGGAAGGAAAGCTTCGGGGGATGGTTCTTTTTGTTTTGGGGGTGTTTTTATTTTTGAACTTAAAGTTATGCTCAGGAAATTAAAAGCCCGTCTGTGGTTTGACAGGCTCCCAAGGGGCTCCATGGGGACAGAATTTTTAAACAAATGCTTTGGAAGCAGAGGTTCTTTTGACTCGCTCGGGGGCTCGGATCCAAGCGTTTCAGTTCTCCTCTGCGGCCCAGTTTTTAGGATGTCACTGAGCTAGTTCCGCAGCCTCGACTCCAGCACCCAGCGCCGTGTCACAGCAGTGTTTACTGGTCTGAAGGAAAGTTCGGCTGGGGCCTGGCCAGAGGATGAGACTCCCCTGGAAAGTCTCCGAGGAGCAGAGATTCCAGCTTTCAAATAGAGCCGAGATCTTGGTTCTCTGGGTCTGGTTTACTTTTTAAGACTAAGGCTGGTTAGTTTTTCCTGAGGCCTGTTGGATTCCAGTAAAATTATTTTCACTCTACATCGACCTTTTTTGTGGATGACTCTGTGAAAGCACGAAGTGTGACGAGGATTCTGCCAGGGCCTCTCACTGCGTGTAGAGTAATTGGTAAGGTTTGGTTTCTCAAGCCTTCCTTTGCTCATCTGTGAAATGGGTCACTCCAGTCTGCAGTTTCACTTTTCAACAATAAAATCTTTGAATTTAAAAAAAAAAAAAAAAAATCTTTCCAGCCCTAACCGGTTTGGCTCAGTGGATAGAGCATCGGCCTGAGGACTGAAGGGTCCTAGGTTCGATTCCAGTCAGGAGCATGTACCTTGGTTGAGGGCATATCCCCAGTAGGAGGTATGCAAGAGGCAGCTGATTCTCTCTCACTGATATTTCTAACTTTCATTGTTTCTCTCTCATCGATGTTTCTAGCTCTCTATCCCTCTCCCTTCCTCTCTGTAAAAAATCCATAAAATATATATATTTTAAATCTTTCCACATCTGTAAAGAATCTTGCTATGGAAAGGAAGGAAGATTGTGCTGAGGGTGGACCAATTTAAGTTATTATCTCTATTCTTAATTGGTGGGAATGCGACATACTTCTTCAATGAACAAACTCACCTTTACTTCCCACCTAATGATGCCAGCCACTCTGCTCGGAGCTGTATGTGCATGCCCTCATGAAGAGCTCTCAACAACCTTGGGGGGTCTAAGTATTAGAAGAGATGAGGAAACTGAGGCACCAAGAAATTCAGTAATTTTCTCACAGTCCCAGAGACAATAAGGAGTCAAACCAAGACTTGAACCTAAACCCAGAGCTGCAAAGATCCTAGCCGCTTAGCAACAGATACTCTATATCCCTGAATTTCCCTCTCTTCCAGTGATTGGGCTCTTTCTACAAAAAGTTAAGTGCAGCCAAAACCGGTTTGGCTCAGTGGTAGAGCGTCGGTCTGCGGACTGAAAGGTCCCAGGTTCAATTCCGGTCAAGGGCATGTACATTGGTTGCAGGCACATCCTTGGGACGTGCAGGAGGCAGCTGGTTGATGTTTTTCTCTCATCCATGTTTCTAACTCTCTATCCCTTTCCCTTCCTCTCTGTAAAAAAAAAAAAAAAAAAATCAATAAAATATATTTTTAAAAAGTGAAGTGCAATGAAAGATTCTAATTAATAGGCATTTTTATTGAATGCTGCATACGCAGGAGATATCCCGGTAAGAATGGCCACTTCCGTGGAAAGTGCCCGGGAAAGGTGAACACGAGCATGTAGGTGCCTCGAGAACAGTCAGTGCCAGGAGGGAAGAAGTTCAAGTGCGGGCAGAGAATTCCTGCGTGGAGGGATGAGAGGAACTCAGACATTCGCGGGTCAAAGGAGGTTGTGTTCCCTTCAGAGTACCTCAGCTCCACTTGCTGAAGTAGGACGCGCAGAATGAGTTATCCCCGGCGGCAGCCAAACTCTTTATATGTAAAAGAAAAAAGAGCAATTAAATATTCCGTCTGATTCTTGGGTTTTGAATTACCCCCGTTTGTCTTTCCCTCTGAGCATCTGCTTTTTATTGTGCCGTGGCCCTGCCCGCCGTTTATCTCTCCCTTCGGTCTGTATCTGCGTGTCATGTGACTCAAAGGCAGAGATTAGAGGAAAAAATTATCTCTGTATCCTAAGCCTGGCAACTTCTATTTTTACCCACAGCTGTTGGAGCTGATAGCGAAGTCACAGCTCACGTCCCTGAGTGGCATTGCCCAGAAGAACTTCATGAACATTTTGGAAAAAGTGGTACTGAAAGGTGAGCTCTCTCGCACTCTCTCACCCCTTTTTATAGGCCTGGGGATGGACGGGTAGATTTTCCAGCAGAGCGGACCTGTCGTTAGGTTCAGGGGAATGAGAGTGGATGGACATGAATAACTCCGGATGCTTCTCAGATCCCAAATGAGAAAAAGACACCCCTCATGGCCATGGCATCACCCTCCTGTCCTTTTTTTTTTTTTTTTTTTTTTAATATATATTTTATTGAATTTTTTACAGAGAGGAAGGGAGAGAGATAGCTAGAAACATCAATGAGAGAGAAACATCGAACAGCTGTCTCTTGCACACTCCCCACTGGGGTTGTGCCCACAACCAAGGTACATGCCCTTGACCGGAATCGAACCTGGGACCCTTCAGTCCACGGACTGATGCTCTATCCGCTGAGCCAAGCCGGTTTCAGCACCCTCCTGTCCTTTTACTGAAAACATCCGCTTTGCCATCAGCTCTCTTTTTTGTCAGGGTCAACCCATGTCCCCACCTTGGATACCGAGCTTCTGGAGCCCAGCTCCTTGGAAAATTGAGCAGTGCGCAGGGCAGAATAGATTCCTGAGCTCTTGGCGCTAAAAGGAACCTTAGGTTTTTGGATCAACTGAATCATTGTCCATAAGGGGGAAATGGAGGCCCATGAGGAAGAGCGATTTATCCGTATCACACCAAGAATCATCCATACGGGATTAGAACCCGTGCTCCAGCGCCCACACGCTCCTACCAACAACCGCCTAAAAGGGATGGCACAGCCAGGCCAAAGCAGCTGCTTTCGGGTCAGGTGCACCCGGAACAATGCAAAAGAAAGAGTCTTTGTGGGAAACTAGGGAGCCCGGAACAAAGAGGGACCTAGATAATGGAAACTCTACCCCGTAACCTCGAGTGCAGAAGCGTGGCCAAGTAGAAAGAAAGCCATATCCCCGGAGGCCGGACCCTGGTAACACAAGCAGAATAGAGAAGAAGAAAGGCCCACCTGCCGAAACCGGTTTGGCTCAGTGGATAGAGTGTCGGCTTGCGGACTGAAGGGTCCCGGGTTCGATTCCGGTCAAGGGCATGTACCTTGGTTGCAGGCACATCCCCAGTGGGAGGTGTGCAAGAAGCAGCTGATCGATGATTCTCTCTCATCGATGTTTCTAACTCTCTATCCCTCTCTCTTCCTCTCTGTAAAAAAAATCAATAAAATATATTTTTTTAAAAAATAGAAGCATGGGGGAGCTAAGAGATCAATCGAAGGACTTGTATACATGCATATAAGTACAACCAATGGACACAAAACTCTGGGGAGGGAGGGTATATATGGCAAAAGGGGGGGGGGGGCGATGGTAAAATAAGTACACAGATAATAATTTAATAAAAAAATAAAATGAAATAAAATAAAAATAAATAAAAATCTATTTGGGATCATTAAAACCTAATTTTTAGATTATCTTAGCACATTTTGGCTCTCATAACAAAATACCACTTATTTTTGGCTCTCATAACAAAATACCACTGCTCTAGAGGCTTAGAAGTTCAAGATCAAGGTGTCTGGTGAAGAATCAATCCTGGTTCCTTATAAGCTCATGCGGTGATCGCTGTTCAGCCTTTTGGCTAAGATCAAGTGTATATCTTCATGTGGTGAAATGGGCAAGGGTTCTCTCTGGAACCTCCTTTGTATGGGTACTAATTCCACTCATGAGCCCTTGTCCTCATGACTTAATTACCTTCCAAATGCCCCACTTCCTTTAGTATACAGAGCATACACTGTTTATAATAGTCACTATCTATGTTGTTAATGTCTTTGTACTCCTTTAATTCCAATTTTCTACCCTTATCTATAAATCATTAAACGGATTTAAAGTCTTAGAGGTTTACACTTAAAAAAAAAATAGAAGCAAATCCTTAAAAAAAAAGAAAGAAAAGAAAGGCCCACTTATACAACGTAGGATGTTCCAGTAGCTGAACAACATTCTTTCTTTTTCTTTTCCCCTCCCCACCCCAGTCCTTGAAGACCAGCAGAACATTAGACTAATCAGGGAACTGCTCCAGACCCTCTACACGTCCTTGTGCACGCTGGTGCAGAGGGTCGGCAAGTGCGTGCTGGTCGGGAACATCAACATGTGGGTGTACCGGATGGAGACGATCCTGCACTGGCAGCAGCAGCTGAACAACATTCAGATCACCAGGGTAAGCAGGGCCGGCTGGCAGGGAGAGCTGCCGGCGGCTCCTTATCGCCACTCTGGTGGTGGAGAGCCTGGAGCGCTCTCCTTGGAAGCTGTCTGCTGAGTGCTGGAGGGGGGCTTCCTGATACAGGGCGGCGGGGAAGAAGAGCTTGGCGAGACAGGATCAGAGCGTGTGAACCATGAAACGCGGTGGGAAACCCGGCAGGTCGGCTCTGGGGAAGACGCTGGCTCTGCCGCTGAAATCGCCAATGCAATTTGGAGGTCTCTCCTCTCCGGCCTTTTCTTCCTAAGGCCTGCGTGTGCAGCTTTGGGATGCTGCCTTGGCTACAAGAGAGCTGTGGTGGCCGTGGCTTGGAGAACTGGTCCCAACCTTTTAAAATTCTAGTTCTTTTTTTTTTTTTTTAATATTTTATTGATTTTTTACAGAGAGGAAGAGAGAGGGATAGAGAGAGTTAGAAGCATCGATGAGAGTCATCGATCAGCTGCCTCTTGCACACCCTCTACTGGGGATGTGCCCGCAACCAAGCTACATGCCCTTGACCGAAATCGAACTGGGACCTTTCACTCCGCAGGCCGACGCTCTATCCACTGAACCACACAGGTTTCGGCTAAAATTCTAGTTCTGAATCTCAAGGGTTATGACAAAGGAAGCCTTTGGTTAAAGACTATGAACATACATGTGAGAAAACACATGAGCAATTCTAACTCAAACTCCCCAAAAAAAATTTTAAAAAAAGAAAGAAGAATTCTATATTACCAGCTTAACTATGATGAGTAGATTCTTTTAGGTTTTAACTTGGCCCTTGGCTCTCCTTCTCTGACTGGTGAGCAGGAGGACCAAGGCCCACAAGAGCTGGGAGAGAGATGCTGGGGTCATCTCCTGAGCTCACTAATGGACAGGCGCACTCAGGCGGCTCACATAGCACTCGGCTTATTTATCTAACCTCTGGCCGCAGCTGCCTTAAGTGGTTCCGGGACCCACGCTGATAAGGTTTGGGTCTGCCCCACCTCTCAAGAGAATACCATGAAAAACCTCTTTGACCTCTTTTAAAGGATTCTTTTGCTATTTGAAGTTTTCCCAGGGCAGTGCCCTTGACAATACTGTTATAAACTTCTCTGTACCTTAGTTTCTTAAACTCTGAAACAGAGACCTCATAGTATGTGACTTCCTTAGAACCACATACATGTGCACACATGCACACACATTCTCACAAACACACACAATGCAGAGCACAAGCCCAAGGAATCTATCAAAAGCGATCTCAATTCTTTGACTATTATAAGAGAATACAAGACTTTCTTATGAGCGTTTATCTGATTTATTTTAATAATTTATCCCATTCCCATCTCTCAAGGGTAGGCATACTTTGATGATGTAAATTTGAGACCCAAGTTCCAGCTTATCTCTGGAAAACCCACTTACACTTTCTATCTAATCTCTGGCATTCTCCATAGCCTGGACTTCATACTCTGTGTTTTTGTGTGTGTTTTTTCTGAGCCCAGAAGAGAATTACCCAGCCAGTGATACAAATGAGCAAGTCCCATTTGTCCCGAAGCCATCTTCCCTCCACCAACTATGGGGCACCCATTGGGTGTCCTTCTTGCCCACAGCTGGCCTCTGTGCTCTCTGTCCACTTCTCAGGAGGCCCTTGGCCACATCCACCCATGTACCTTGCACTTCCATGGGCCGACCTCCCCAGGGCCCCTTTCACTTGACCCACGCACGCTCTCGGGAAGTAGCACTGTAGTTACTATTTCTTCACGGAGGGTTGGGGGGGGACCAGAGAAGTCCAGCGACTTTCTCCAAGTAACTCAGCAATTAGAGACAGAGCCCAGGTCAGAACCCTGGACTCCTTATTCCTAAAATGGCAAAGTGTTCTTAACATCAGTGCTTTCCAAACTTGCTTTCCATCCAGCTTCCTTCCAACTATTTACGCAGTGATTCAGCTTTTTACAAATCTTTTAAGTCCAAAGAAATCCCCACAGAGAGCCGATTAAACACTGAAGTTCGTCTCATTCTGCTCATGATGCTCCCGTAGGCCAGGCTGTTCTCTGCACACTCTGAGCTGGGTCCTGGCGTGGGCCTTTTCGCTGGTCACCTCCCCGACCACCCAGGGGAGCCACTATCATCTCACCTCCTTCAGAGCAGTTACTACCATCTGAAGTGCCCTCATCCGGGGATTCACTCTGTGGTCTCCATCCACTGTCTCATCACCTCCACAAGGAAAGGACATTGCCATCATGTTCCCTGCTCTGCCCCCTCCACCTGGCGCAGAGCGGAAGGCAGCCAGTAAATGTAGTTGAATGAATGAATGATTGGAGGAAGCTTCCTCCCACCGCCTGCCTGAAGGACCTGGTCAAAGGTCAGAGGTTTACAGTTGGAAAATAACGCCCTGTGTTATGGATGATGGTGACGATTTGCCAACTGCAGGGTTCGGGGCAAGTTATTCAGCCATTTCATGTCTCAATTCCCTCATTTGGAAAATAGGGCAATAAAGTTTATCTAATAGCACTGGTGTGAGATTTAAGAAGTTAATACATGGAACCAAAACCGTTTTGGCTCAGTGGACAGAGCGTCAGCCTGTGGACTGAAGGGTCCCAGGTTTGATCCAGTCAAAGGCATGTACCTTGATTGCGGGCACATCCCCAATAGGGGGTGTACAGGAGGCAGCTGATCGATGTTTCTGACTCTCTACCCCTCTCCCTTCCTCTCTGTCAAAAATCAATAATATATATATATATTTTTTTTTAAAAGAAGAAGAAGAAGTTAATACATGGGAAACACTTATAACTGTGCCTGCCGTACAGTAAGTGTTGTAAATGCATCAGCTGTTATTATTATTAAGGGCTCACTCTGTGGCAGACACTCTCCTAAGTCCTTTATGTACAGCACGATGAGGCGGAAGCAGGTTTATAGTTGTATGTGAAACAGCGTTTATTCTTGTATTATTCTTCATTGTATTACTTTCTATATGAACAACTGTAAACCCACTTTTGCCCCGCTCTGTGTGTTAACCCATCTAGTGAATAACTAACTGTATGTAGGAAACATCATAATAGCTAATAATCTCTGGGCACTGTGCTAAGGACTTCTGTGCATCTTCTCCATTCCTCCCAGCAACACTGAAATACGAGTTTCCTCGTTTCGTATGTGACTGAGCAGTTAGGAACAAGCTGGCCAGGGTCGCACCATCTTTAAGACAGAGCATGGGGGCTGAACCCAGGCCTGTCTGCAGAGGCTGTGCTTTTATTCAATGCTCTCTCCGCCCTCAGGCCCTCCTTCATGACCCTCCGTGGCTGTGAGCTGCAAGATTTTGAGAGCAGGAAACCCTCAGAGTCCTGAGCTTTTCATGCAAATGGATAGAGAAAGAGAGAGGGAGGGAGAGAGAGAAGAGAAAGAGAGAAGGAATTTAATTACTTCAGACTGGACTGGACTTATTTTTTTAAAATACGTTTTATTGATTTTTTTACAGAGAAGAAGGGAGAGAGATAGATGAGAGAGAAACATCGATCAGCCGCCTCCTGCACACCTCCCACTGGGGATGTGCCTGCAACCAAGGTGCATGCTCTTGACCGGAATCGAACCTGGGACCTTTCAGTCCACAGGCCGACGCTCCATCCACTGAGCCAAACCCGTTAGGGCTGAATAGTATTTAAAAAGCTTACTTTTTAACTGTTTGGACAAAAGGAAAGTATGTCGTTATATGAAAATATGAACAGGTGACATTTATATGAATTGCTTTCTAGTTGCCAAAGTTCTATCAGTAACTTGTTTCCATAAAAATTTTATATCTAACGCTATGGAGTCGGATTTCTATTGGCAAACTAATTAGTACAATAAAGGATGAAAAATGAGAAGAACTGGGCTGGGGGAGGGAGGTTAAATAGAGTCACTGAGAGCAAGGCATCATGTTGAAATCTGCGGGCAGGGTGGACCGAGAGGATTTAGCCAAATGCTCAATCAAAGGAGCAAGAGTAACTTATTTCTCTCTTAAATGTCAATATTCAGAAAGAAAAAAGGCACACAAGCAGTTAGCCGCGTATCAGGAGTAAGGGCTCAGCATGGGGTCTGGGCAAGAATTTTGGAAAAGTTCAGGTTTGAAAATTTGAGGGTGAACTCTGCCAAGCAGACTTTAATAGGAGTTCGTGTAATAATTGGCCTGGGAGTTTTAACCAAAAAAGTAGATGCTTTGAAGTGCTGGGAACAAAAAGAAAAGCTCCTGGCAGTTTTATTGGCTCACATGATCAGCAGCAGATGATAAACGGCAAGCAGGTCCCGGGCCCTGTGCAGCCCGGCAAGGCCCTGAGTTTTACAAACAATCCAAAGTTCAGCCCCGCAGCCTGAGCCATAAAAATTGCCAAGTCATAGGCACTTCTGGTGAGTTAGGAGGCTGAAGCGGCTCCAGAGCTCAGCTTGTTGGAGCTGGAAGGGATCTTCAGACCCTTCTAAACCAATTCCTTGTGGACCTGGGCAGACTGAGACTCAGACTTCCCAAGGGTACCTGGGACCCCGATCTGTTGCATGCCCCTCCCGTGTCCCTCCCATGTCAGTTCCCCTTCTTCATAGGCCACCCTCCCAGGTCCCCCGCCACTGCCACCTTCCCTCCGCATGTCTGTCCTGCTTTGCAGCACCTCCAGGGCCAGCCCACAGCAAGCCCTCAAAAGGTGTTGCCTGGCTGGGCTAGTCTGCAAAGAACACTAAGTTAGACCCTGGCTTCAGGGATGGCGGTCTGGGCAGAATACCACGAGCTCATCCAATATAAGCAACAAGGGGCTTAAATAAACGTCCAGGAATAAAGTTGAGAAGGTCGTGATCAATTATCAAGGCATTATTCACAGACAAACAGCTTTCATAATGTTCCATGGGGCCCCAGATTTGAATAGAGATGCCTCCGTGGATGGTAGCATTTAGGCTATCAGGGTTCTGGATGCCATTTGCACAGTGCGAGTACATGTGTGCACACACACACCAACCAGTGCAGGGTCGTTTTGCTGTTGTTGTTGACTTATTTAATGATTCGGGTGTCATTCATTCCACAGATATTTTTTGAGTGCCTAACTATATGCCAGGCACTCTTCTAGACATTGGGGCCACAGCAAAGAAAAAGGATCAAACTTCTGCCTCCTTGGAGCTTCCATCCTAACAGCAATGTCCAGCCTCCTTTTGTAAAGGGTTGCATTATAAAACCAAAGGGGAGCCGAAACCGGTTTGGCTCAGTGGATAGAACATCGGCCTGCGGACTGAAGGGTCCTGGGTTCGATTCCGGTCAAGGGCATGTACCTTGGTTGTGGGCACATCCCCAGGAGGGGGTGTGCAAGAGGCACTGATGGATGATTCTCGCTCATTGATGTTTCTAACTCTCTATCCCTCTCTCTTCCTCTCTGTAAAAAATCAATAAAATATTTTTTTTTAAAAAACAAAAACAAAAAAGCAAATGGGGCTTGCAGCCAAAAGCATCCCAAAGAGATCCTAGGGATTCTGGAGAGACACAGAGAGTAAGGCCAGAGGGAGTAGCAAGAGCCAGAAAGGCCTTTCGGAGGAAGCATACCATTTGGATGGGCGAGAAGGAGGGAGGCAGAGGGAGTGGAGGCCTCGTGGGCAGCAGGTTTGGGTGCTGGTGAGGCAGGGGGTGTCAGGAGTCACCAGGAGCCAGTGAGACAGGAGGCTGGGGCGGCGGGCAGGGGGTACTCTGTCCAGGACGGTGAGCCCTTACGGAAGGTAACAAATCCCGTAATGGAGTGAACTGACTCAAGCAGGAGATCCAACATGTGCTGCTGGGGAAACATCTTGTGAAGCAGGAAAATCTCCTGGCACCTGGATCAGCTCTAGCCCGTCCAGGATCTTCTTTGTGGTCTTAGCCACGGGCCCTGTGTCTGTGCTTAGGGCTGGGAGAATTGCTGCTCTGATGTCTGATCAATAAACCAGCTTGAAGATGGAGGGTGAGGGGACAGCTGCATCCTTGGGGAATGTCATCCGGTGACCTGCTGCTCTCCTCCCCGAGACGTAACCTCCCCCTCCTCCCCGCAGCCTGCCTTCAAAGGCCTCACGTTCACCGACCTGCCTCTGTGCCTGCAACTGAACATCATGCAGAGGCTGAGCGACGGGCGCGACCTGGTCAGCCTGGGCCTGGTGGGCCCCAACCTGCACGTGCTCAGCGAGGACCGGCTGCTGTGGAAGAGGCTCTGCCTGTACCACTTCTCCGAGCGGCAGGTGGGTGCGGCCCGCGACACGCCTGCCTTCTCTCTCCTTTATCCCCGCCCTCAAGCTTCCCTGGCATCTTTTCAAGCTTGTAGTGCGGGTGCCCACCCTCCAGGGCTTCCTGGTTTGACTGGAAAAACAACAGTCCGAGGACTTTCTAAATTGTGTGAGATTTTGGGTATTTTTTAGGTGGTTTTGATGGGGGGGGGTGGGGGGGGAGACACACCTTCATAACCATCCGCATTTTACAACTTTCTAAAAAAAATCGCAAATTGACCCCAGTCCTTATTTTCTAGAACAAAGTAACTTATACTTTTCTGATATACTGTATTGCAGCTAAAGTACTTTTATAGGTGTTATTTCATTTTATATTAATGACCCCAGGAATGGTGGGTATCATGATCTCCACTTTAAACAGATGAGGAGGCTCGGGCCACAAATGGCGATGAAACATCAGTGTTGGTGAAGGGGTTCTCTAGTTGAAGAAACTGGCCTTGGATTTGAGTTTGGGCCTCCAACTCGAGGCTCTTCCCCCGCCTCATGCTGCCTCAGTCTTGCTTTCCGACTTCTTTCTATAGAAGTGTGAGGTCACCTAGTTCTGCTCATGAAGCCTGTAATATTTTTATATAAAATAGAGCCACTGTGCCAGGCAGTCATTGCATCTCCCTGGAAATGATCACTCAAGCTAGAGCAAAGGAAATATTGACGTTCATTGAGATCACCTAAACTTTAATTGTTTTAATTTATTGAGAGAGAGAGAGACATTGATTTATTGTTTCACCTATTTATGCACTCATTGGTTGTTCCTTTTATGTGCCCTGACCAGAGATCGAACCCACAACGTTGGCTCTAACCAACTGGGACGATGCTCTAACCAACTGAGCTACTGGCCAGTACTAGCCAAATGCAGTTCAGGGGAGGTCACTAGGAAGATGTCACCAACCACCTGTTTTCTTTAAAGACTGATTAAAAGCTAATGTTTGTCAAAGCTACTTCTTTCTATCTTGGCTATTTCCCCCTGGCTTTTATAAGATAGAGATGAAAGAGGAGGGAAGTGGGTGGGAGCAGTACTTTCAGAACCAGAAAACCACAAGCCCTCTCCTTGCCGAACTCTCCTGCAATGATTTTTATTTGATATTTAGATCCGCAAGCGGTTGATCCTGTCGGACAAAGGACAGCTGGATTGGAAGAGGATGTATTTTAAACTCGTGCGATGCTACCCACGGAAAGAGCAGTACGGAGACACCCTACAGCTTTGCAAACACTGTCACATTCTTTCCTGGAAGGTATGTTCCTCGGAGGTGGCAGCCACAGACCCCTTGCCCAGCCCCTAAGAGCTAATAATACCAGCCATTAACACCAACTCCTTTCCTGATTGCAACCTCCAGCTGAAGGTGAAGATAAAACCAGTTCTGTCCCTGGGGGAAAAAATTTCAAAGACCATAATTTCCCTAACCTCCCCTTTATTTTTTTTTTCTACAACCCACCCACCCTCAAATTCTCCCATCTTGCACACAAGTGCACATGCACGCGCTCACACACATACACACACACACATATACACACACACACATACCTCTTTAGTGTTTGCAGAATTTATGGCGTTCTCGGCAGAGGGGTGTTGTTTTGAGTGGGGCAATGCCTTGTGGTGCTCCAAGCCAACGAGATGCTTCTGAGAACTCAAATCCGACCTTGCTGTTCCTTTGCAGGGCACCGACCACCCGTGCACAGCCAATAACCCCGAGAGCTGCTCCGTGTCCCTCTCTCCCCAGGACTTTATCAACTTGTTCAAGTTCTGAATCACAGCCCCTGACAGCACTTCCGGAGGGCTCCCCACTGAGTGGATGCTGGGAATACAGGGTCTGGACCCTTCATTTGTAAATAGTGTCCATGTTAAACATTGGCTCGAAGCTTCTGAGATTAAGTCACGGAGAGGACTTTGGAGGGGAGAGAGACAGTCCCTGGCTGGGAACTTAAGAACATGGACTCCTCGTTAGAATTGGTATGGAAAGCAGAAATACTGTAAATAAACTTTATTTTCCCTAACAATTTGCCAGCAAGACTCATAAGGGCAGGAGTTCCGTGGCATCGGTGAAAGTGGAATTCTCTTGATGGTCACGGGAACTCCTGTATGTAGAGTTCCTCAGAGATGGCGGAAGAAGAGGGCAAAACTCGAATACAAGAATAGAACACGCTTTGTTTACAATGTGAAAATGTGTTTTAAAAAAGAAAGAAGAAGAAACTGCAGATGAGAAATCCCTGGGCTTTGGGGTTAGATTTTGGGTTAGCTCTGAAGAGGCAACAGAAGTCCCACCCATCGTAACCCACCCCCCAGGCACCCACAGGGCCTTATCTATGAAGATATCACACAATAGTCTACCTCGGAAAGCATACCGCGATCTCTCTGACACCGTGCACCCTCCAGTAGGCAGTGTCTGTTCATTCGTCTCGTTTTCTCATCCGATAAAAAGTGATTGAAAATGGGCTGGGGTCTTGGAGACAATCCTCACCATGCTCCTTGGGAGGGAGGAGGAAGGGGCAGTCTTCAGAGCTGCCTCTCTCCTAGAACCACCTCAGAACACACAGGCCTGTCATCCTTTTGTGTCATAGCTCGTTCGGGGCAACAGAGGGCCAGTGGAAAACCAGCCCAGAGGATGTCCCATCACAGAAAAGGTAGAATCAGTCGCTCCCTGCTGTGAAGACTTTCTTATTCCTGTTTAATTTCTCGGCATGTCTGCTTTCTGGGGCATCTTCTGAGATAAGCCTCAGCATATCTCTGGGGACTGCTCGGAGCCAGAGGGCTGATAAAGGCCTGTAAAGTAGGATTGACGCGTTAGCGAATGCCTTCCTCTTGAAGGGAGATGAGCCGAGGAGCTTTCTTTTCGTTACACCCCACGTCTAAATGTGGTCGACCTGAGCAAGGGCTTCTTGCAGGAGGATTAAAAAAAAAAAAAAAGCCTGGAGTTCCAGCCAAATAGGGAACAGAGATGCTTAGGGTTCAACCTAAACATGCTTTGGTCTTGCTAGGCCAATACCAGTAGGTAACTGCGTGGGAGAAAAGTCTCAGGATGTCATGAGTTCGTTATCAGATATTCCTGGGATAGGGTGGGGGAGTGTTTTTGTTTTTTACTTTTTATAGAACTTTGCTTTTCTACAGTAATGTATATATTTTTGCCATTGTATTTGCTTTGCCTTTATTTTTATTTTTTTTCTTGTAAATAAAGTTGCCACCCTGCATGTGCTTGGAAAATATGTGAAGCAAAATAGGAACTTGGTTCACATTCACTCTGAGAATCAGCGAATCCTTAGGGGTTGAACTTGGGGTGACCTGAGAGGGGAAAGATGGCTAGGCATGTACAGAAGCAAGCCCGGGACCAGCGAGTGATGCAGGGCCATCGCATACCCTTCCCTCAACGTGCAACACACGTTACCAGCATTTGGGAGAGAAGCCAGTTGTTAATTGATGCTCCTCACTTTGCAACGTTTATGCCCACACCAGGGTTTCTCAATAATTTTTTCATGATCACTCTCCAAGAAGAAAAAATTAAATTGAATTTAAATTCTCCTCAATAAGAAAAATTAAACATTAAACAAAATCTTATTGGGTGATATTGAGTTCTGGAGTGGCACAAACCATTGTAAAACCGAGAGATATTGCTTGCTCTCCCTTCTCCACTGAGTCAAGGTCACACTGAGAATGCAGGGTCTACACTGAGGAACATAAGAGCTTCCATAATTTGGACAACTTTTCTCAAATGTCTCGGCTTCCTTAAAGATGTAGGGTCAGAGCTTTGGAATCTTTGTCTATAATTTTAGGGTTAGGTGTTCATGCCCTACTTGTGACCTCTGACCCTTCATGTTGATTGAGGAGGTGGTAGCTGTTGGGCACCTTCAGGTTTACAGTACCAGAAATGTCACCTGCTCTGGACTACCAGCACTAAGCTGGCAAACCAGCCTCCATGGGACTGTCCGCAATGCTTATGCTTGCTCAAGGCAAGGTGCATGTGTGCAAGGCAACCCCTACCACAAGTGACACGGTAATGGTTTTCTGAGATGTTTGCCTAGAAAGTGTCTCTGGGCTCTCCCATCTCTGGCGTCACTGGAGGTGGTGTGTGACAGTCAAGAGGAAATTTTTAAGGAAAAAAAGGAGAACGCGACATTCATGGTTCTCTTTCAGTGGAAGAGGAGAATAAAAAGGAAATGGCAGGTGCAGAGGGAGAGGGAAAGGAATAGAAATGGCATCTCTTGGAAGCTGTGGTTTGTGTGAGGGGAATGGAATGAGCATAGCTGTCAAAGAGCACGTGTTGATAGCATGAAGCGTGGTCAGAGCCTCACATGTAAGCAAAGTGAGACAAAAAGAACATTCGTGTTCCCTGGGCACTAATCATCTACAGAATGTCTAGGCAAACCCTCCTAGGACAACCCCACCTAAAAGACAAAAACAAGGAATCCCTGTCTCAGAACTGCTGGCCTAAAAGCCAGAGGGGACATGACAATGGAAATATATTCTCTTTGCTGTACACCCCAACCCTGTGGAGTATCATTTGGCATTGATGGCAAATATGAAGTCATTTGGACTTGCAGAACAGGAAAGAGTTTTGTACAGAGTAGTGTGAGCAAATCCACAGGGATGGCATCGTTTGGTCCAACTCAAAGGTCTGTGAGCAAGAGCCTAGGCTTTCTGAGACTAAAGAACAGCATTTGAGGAGAGGAGACTATGCGAAGCTTAGGCGTGTTCACTTTATAGCAAGATCCAGGAAAAAAAAAAAAGTGTAATGACATCTGAAACTAGACTGGGTTCTTACTCAACGCTGTTCCTTTGAGCAGAAGGATCCGTCTCAAGGGCCAGTGGCAGAAATTTCCCGGTGTCCGTTGTGTGGTGACATTTGTTTCGTGGTGGTCATTTTATATTGAAGTGGCTCGGAGCAGGTACTTTAATGAGCTGGGTTTATACTGTAAAACTCAACACAAGCACGGGCTTTGCTTGGCTGCGGTGAAGTAAGGCATTGCATTATTGCCACAGCTGTCATCTTTTTTTTTTTTTTGTAAATATATTTTATTGATTTTTTACAGAGAGGAAGAGAGAGGGATAGAGAGTTAGAAACATCAATGAGAGAGAATCATCAATTAGCTGCCTCTTGCACACACCCACAACCAAGGTACATGCCCTTGACCGGAATCGAACCTGGGACCTTTCAGTCCACAGGCCAATGCTCTGTCCACTGAGCCAAACCAGTTCTGACCACAGCTGTCATCTTTTGTGATTTAAAAGCTTTTTCACAAGGAGCTTGCTATCAACACGGGCTCCTTGTTCCGTTGTCTTTGTGGATGAAGAGAAAGAGTTTGGGATTTCATTTGTCTGGGCAAGGGATAGGATGTACAAGAAGATCAATCATTTCAAGACGCGTTCAACAGTATATCATCCTTAGCGTTCAATGCAGAGTTCATCATAAAATATGCACCTGAGTTTATATTTTTCTGCCAGGCTGTGGGGCAAAATGCCTTGCGATGCAAATACTCTAGTTTACGTGTGAATTTTTTAAACTGTAATTTTATGTGTGAATTTTTTTTTCTAACTAAACTATATCAGCAGTTTCTATGTCGACACCTGTTGTTTTGTGTGTGTTTTTAATCTGTTTCCAACTCTCCGAGTCTGTGAACCATCCCTCTGACTGGATGCTGGCCTAAAATCCTATTAGTGTTTAAACAGACCTCAGAGATACCCTGGACCTCTAGGCAAATGCAGACCCAGACTCTGCTTTATCTTGGGCCCTTGATGTCTTCAACAAACAAGATTGTAATCCCTCCAAATTCGTGATTCTGTAGATGCTTTCTTCTCTGTGTTGTTAAGGAAAGTAAACCCTCCATGGTTTTCCAAGGGAAGGAAGGCCTTCCCCCAGACTTCAGCGCTGGAAGGGAGGTTAGAGATGTGGAAGTCTGGTCCTCCCTTTGCCTCAGCCCCCTGGTCCTCAGTGGTGGACCTGACCATGAACCTGGGACGTCCTGAGGCCTTGACCTTTCTATGTGGCTAGAGACACGTGAGACCAACATGAGTCTTCTCAAGACCTTCACTGAGGAAGGCAAGCATGAGGGTCCAGTGTCAGGCATCTGGCCGCTACTTTGCCAAACATTTTAAGTCCCTGGTTCTTCCTGGAGAAATTCAGGAGCCGGTTGAAATTTTTACAGACCTCTCATGCTGTTGTGAGTACAGCATTCTAATGATTGCAACCTGCTGGCCACAGAGTAAGCAGCATGTTTTGGTAAATTCATTGTCCCTGAGTACTTATATTTTAATTACAAAAGTGGCCCTAAGACAGATCATAGCTGAGAAGTCAGCTTGCCTTCTAGAAACTGAAGTTCTGGTGATTGCCAAGCAGGCGTTTCCTCTCTCCTTAAACTAAGAGGTACATTTAGTCCACCCCCTCCATCTCCCTGTCCTCTGGTGCCTGCTGTGGAGCCCATTTTGGGAGCCTCTAGCCCCGTGGAAGTTTGCTCTCTGCTAAACCTCATCTCTACTAAGCAAGGGGGGATTGCTCCATGAGGCAGCAAGGAGCAAGGAACCACGATAGTCAGTCTTTGTCTGCTGGACATTTTTCCAAGTGTCCTTGAACTCAACTCAGCAAACAAAACTTCCTGAAAAACCTCTCAAAACTTGGGCCCTGCTCCATTTGGCCAAAAATGGATGGCTGCTCCAAAACTCTGAACTTCTTGAAACTCCATCTGCGACAACATCACTTCTGGAGTTTGAACTTGATTTTTTTCTGTCTTCGAGTATAGAAATGTTTGCTTAATTAACGATACACAAGTCTGTTATGCAGAAGGCTCCAAGTGGTGTTCAACACTCGAGAACTCTTGGCGCCATCTTTATTCTACCAAGTGCCAATCCCCTGGCTCAAGGGGGTGTATGCAAGTCCATGTCTTGAGCTTAGACACTTTTCTTTTTTAATGACAAATAGTACAGGGGGGCTGAATATTGTAACTGAAAGGATAAGGTTAGATCGATTACATGCAGAGATGTTCATTTAGTATCGTGTGAGCTGAGTCCATCTGTATAAATTATTTGCACCCTTTCCTTGCATGATGAACTGACTTTTTTTTATAGTTTGTACCAGACGGTGGCATATTTTTGTAAGACTTTTTGACACTGAATTGCAATAAATGTTTTTCCAACAACACACCCTGGTGCATGTTTAGTTTGTATCCACTCAAGTTGGATTTTTATCATACTGAGTGTGTTTATCTTTTGCCTCGCTAGGCTTATATGCCTTCTTCCAGAAATTTCTCGTTGTTGCAAAATTTCTAGGAATACATAGAAAAAAGAAGCTTGCTGCTGGGTGCCAACCTGAGTCAATAATACAGCATTATGCTTGCCTGGGATATTCCTACGTGCTGTGTGTATCGTACAAAGATTGGGGAACAATGAACTTTCCAGTCATTATCCATTTACTCACCAACGTCTAATGAACAACTACTGTTTGCTAGACTCTGCCAGGCACTAGGAATAGGAAGAAAAACGAGACCCATATGGTCCCTGTCTTAATGGAATTTGGGTTCTAGTGAGAAAGACAATAAAAACAAATAGAAAAAAATTAAAATTTGTAGTAAGTGTGTGAAGGGAATAAAGAAGGGGCTGAGACCTGAAAGGTGAGAAGGACATGGCCCTGGAAGAACAAGGGCATGAGCGTTCCAGAAAGAGGAAATGGCTTGTGCAAGGTGCAGATCATGGCCCTGCCAGACAGAGACCACACTTACCCCTGTATCAATCCCCTCAACTCCAAGATGATGATAACCACTCATTTCTTACAGGTTGTGGGAGTCAAGTGAACTAGTCCATGTAAAGTACTTGGAGCCAGGCACATGGTATGAGTTCAATTTACATCAACAGTTATTGTTCCCTGAGTCTGAAAAAGGGGTAAACATTACACTGTGTTCTAAGTTGGGTGTGATTTGCTCAGGTGACTTGCTTGTGGGTAATTCTTTGTACATTCACGCTAGAACATACCCTGATCCTGCCATTCTCCACCACAAAATGATGTAAGATGTTCATGAGAGGTACTTTTTTTAAATTTCCACCATGATCACAAAATGTCACCATTTCAGAAACAGCGCATGCCTTCTTTGCTCAGGCTGTTCCATCCTGCCTAGAATGCCGTTCCCCTCCCATCTGCCAGGTAAGCTCTTATTGCTTGTAGGGCCACTTCCTGGCTGAAGCTTCCTCCAAGTTAATCTCTCTCCCATAACATTCTAATCCTTTCTGTGGCCGTGTCTAGTACCCAGCACAGTGCCAGGGCAGAATGAATGAATAAACCACACATCATATATGCATTAAATGCTTTTAAAGTCTCAGTTATAACCACACACTTACCTTTGGAAAGAATGAGAATCAGCATGAGTCTATGTATATAGCACCTGGGTTAAAAACGAATAGTAGTTGATAAAGTAAGAAGTGTAGAGACTCAGTATTCATAAAAGTTCCTTTTAAGTGCATCTAAGTATCTAAGTCTTTACAAGTCTAGTATTTTCATACAAAATAAGAAGGCCTTTTACTGTTTGAAAATCTCAAACTGAACAGACCAAAATTTCTTTTTAAAAAAAAGTCCTTTGCTTGGCTTATTTTTTATTCTTATAAGTATAATTCCAGTAGAACATGATATCACTCATCTAGGGGAAATGGTGAACAACATAGACTGATGAACAAGAACAGACCCAGAGATAAGGAGCCATAGGTCAGACTGTTGGACCTCAGAGGGAGGGTGGGGATAAAAGGGAGAGATCAACCAAAAGACCTGTGTGCTCACATATGAGCCTAATCAGTGGTCAAGGACTATAAAGGGGTGGAGGCATTGGGGGGGGGGGGGGATTGGAATGAGGGTTGAGGACAAATATGTGATACCTTAATCAATAAAGAAATTAATTTTTTTTAAAGTCCTTTAACAAACTTAGTAAATTCTTTTAAAGATTTTAAAGCTGTAATTATAAATCTAATGAATTTGCTTTTTTATAAGCACTTCAAATACCTGCTCAGAGAAGCTTTAACCCTAATAAGCCATACATTCCTAAATAAAATTCATAATTTATAAATTTAATAACTTAAACATAAATATATCTCCGATTTTCTTTTTTTTAAAAAACTCTAACAAGGTAAAATTTATAAAAATATTATGTTTCCACTTAAAATCACATCTTACACTAATTATTATTTTTATATATATTTTATTGATTTTACACAGAGAGGAAGAGAGAGGGATAGAGAGTTAGAAACGTCGATGAGAGAGAAACATCAACCAGCTGCCTCTTGCACACCTCCCACTGGAAAAACATAGATCAGCTGCCTCTTGCACATCCCCTACTGGGGATGCGCCCGCAACCAAGGCACATGCCCTTGACCAGAATCGAACCCGGGACCCTTCAGTCCACAGGCCGACGCTCTATCCACTGAGCCAAACAGGTTTTGGCACTAATTATTATTTTAAATAGACAGAAGTCCTGCAGCTATGGGAAGCAGAACAATGGCTCGTGAAGATGGCCACATCCTACTCCCCTGAGACTGTTAGGTCACCTGGGAAAGGGGACATGCAGGTGTGATTCAGTTGGACGCTTTGAGATGGGAAGATCATCCCGGCCTATCTGAGAGGGCCCAATGCAATCACAGGGTCCTTAAAAGTGGAAGAGGGAGGCAGGATGGTTTAAGTGATGCCATGTGAAAAGGACTCATTTCACCATTGCTCCTTTAAAGATGGAGAAAGGGGACCACAAGCCAAGGAATGAGAGCAACATCTGGAATCTGGACAGCACAACAGCAAGGAAACAGCTTTCCTCGAGGCCCCAGAAAGAAACGCAGCCCTCCCAACACCTTGACCTCAGCTCAGTGAGATCCTTGTCCAGGCGTCTGGACTTCTGGTGCATCTGTGTTCTCTCAAGCTACCAAAGTCCATGGTGATTTGTCACACAGTAACAGGCAACCAAGACAGTGAATCTGACAGATTCTGCAGGGTGCCCACAACCCATCTCTACAAGGCTTTTCTCTATCCATTCAAATTTCCTTTCAGACAAATTCCCACTGCCAGAGCTCTGGAGACACATGATAGATAGATAGATAGATAGATAGATAGATAGATAGATAGATAGATAGATAGGCAGATAGATGACTGATAGATAGATGGATGATAGATAGGGATAAACATGCTGTTGATTCTATTTCTCCAGAGAACCCAGGCAAACATGAGCTCCTAGAAAGAGAACAAAGGCAAAGACAGGCTAGAAGAAGGCTTCAGAGGGCAGAAGGGAACAGAAGAAAAACCAGAGGAGAGCAGAATCCAGTGGCTGTAGGAGTTCATCAGCCAACTACCACAGTCTGAGAAATCGTATTTGGCAGATGCCAAAGAGCAAGTACATCCAAACAGTCCTCTTAACCCATATGCATGCGTTTGGGTGGCTCCCCTTCGTGGTACTTTTCAAACTTGCATTCAATTGTTTTGTTTGCATCTAACCGGTTTTTCTTCATCGCAAAACTATTCCCAGGAGCCCTGTTTCCTTCAAAGAGGCAGCACAGCACGGCGATCAGGAGCACAGAATCGAAGGGGCCAGTGAAGACAGAGGCAGAGGCCGACGTTATACACTACAAACCAGGTCCACCACAACCTGCCAACAATGACCAGGAGGTGGGAGAGGCCAGGAAAGTCCGCCCTACAGGCTTCAGAGGGAGCATGGTCTGCTGACACCTTGATTTGAGACTTCTGATCTCCAGAACAGAGAATACATTTCTGTTGTTTTAGGCACCGGGATTGTGGTCATTTCTTACAGCAGCCCTAGGAAATAATTCACTACCCCACAGTTTGGTGACTTAACGCAACAGTATAGCTTATGATTTGTCCTGATTCTGTGGCAATGCGGGTAGGGCTCCATGAGGTCATTCTGCTGGCCTTGCTTGAGTGTGGTCATCCGTGTCGCTGCAATGACCTGGTGGCTTGCCTAAAGCTAGCGTGGCTAACATGGCCTCACTCACATGTCCCAGCGTGGTGCCGGCTGTCCCTTTTCACGTGGCCTCTTGTCCCTCAGTGGTGTAGCTTGGTGTTCCTCATGTGGTGGAGGCCACATTCTGAGAGGCTAAGATGGAAGCGGCAAGGCTGCATGAGGCTTCGTTTGAACGCACACAACGGAAGCGCTGCCACGTTCGTTAATCAACGCCGGTCACAGGCAGCCCAGCTTCGCAGAGTAGGGAGAGATCCGCAGTCTCTTGACAGGAGGGGCTGCAAAACATTGGGCCATTTTAATCTGTTCCAGCATTCAACAGAAAAAGGAATCCTGTCCACTTCAATCTTCACATAGTTAAGCAGAAGTCTTGTCATTCCTAGCTAAAAAAAAAAAAAAAAAAAACATTTTACTGGCAGAGAAACTGAGA